CCTTTCCGTTAAACTTTTGATCAAAAGTGTCCTTAATTCTTATTAATGTATTTTGTTAAATGTCACATGATTACAACATTGAAAGCCAATAGGGTTCCACTGCAACATAGACTTAATCCCTAAATCTTAATTACTCTTTTTTCCCCTCATTTCATTATTTTCCAGAAATGATTTCACCCCTTCTCCTTCATTTCGCGGCTAGGGTTTCACAATTTTCTTCATCGTTAAGTTTCAAAGTGGATATTCATGGTTGTAGGTTAGTAAATTTTTTTTCTTATTTTATTATGGTTACGATTTCAAAGCATGATAATAGCCAAAAAAAATTAAAAAAATTATTTTCCAAAACTCTCCTTTAACTTCAAATTATAATTTTTTGTTTGAAAAATATATTTAAAGTGTATTTTAAAAAAAATATTTTCAACTATAATTTTTTATTATTTTACCCCACCCTCCAGCCTTATACCCCCACCCCACACCCACACACAAAAAAAATAAAAAATAAATTATAGTATGTTATTAAAAAATATTTGCAATTTCGAATTTCTATTTGTTCACTGCACCCTACCCCCTTACCCTTGAAACCCCCTCCAGCAAAAGAATTTTTAGTTTTATTTTAAAAAAATATTTTTGACTACAGTTTTTTTATTTTTTAAAGTTTATTTTAAAAAATGTTTCTAATTTCTAATTTTTAGTTTTCACCTCACCCCTACCCTCGACTCCACCAGCCCCCCTATCAGACCCCCCACCCCACCCCAAATATAAATAAATTATAGTTTGTTTTTAAAAAATATTTCCAATAAAAAAATTTCATTTTCACCCACCCCACCAATCAAACCCACCCCATCCCCCTCCAAAAAAATCTAAGTTTGTTTATAAAAAATATTTTCAATTTCAAAATCTTTTTTTAGCCATTTCATCCGTATAAATAAAAGATATTTTCTCAAAACATTTTTCATTCATAAATTAAACACAAAAAAATTATTTTCAAAAATATTTTCTACTCATCAACCAAACATTAGAAAATAAATCAAAAATCTACTCATTTTTCAGATAAACATTTATCATGAAAAACTCTTAATTCATATCAAATACACCCTTAAAGTAAATTGTGAATTTGCCTAATCGTGCATCTCTAACTACGCATGCAACATAAAAGTTGAAAATGCAGAATAATTACTAGCATCACTAAACTGCTTACACAACAATTCTATGTTATACACTCGATCACATTTATGCTAATTGTAGGTCTATACAAATTAGCATAAATAATATAAATACTATCGTAAGTACAATTAAATATTGGAAGCTACTTGCAAGCAAGATTCATGGATACAATCGTATAATTCAACGCAAATTTCGATTAGTTATAGTAATTGTGAAGATGATAAAAGTTTATTTTCGAGGGAATTTTAAATCCAATAAACTAGCAAAAATCGTAAACTTTGAACTTTTATTCCAGTTGACAAATCAGCTAAATATGTAGAAGATCTTGGTTGTAACTTTAATCGATGTGTACCTGTGTCTTTCGGTGGCGGACCCAGGATTTCCCATCAGGAGGTTTGAAAAATAAAAATATAAACGTGTAAATAATTCTTTCGAAGTGGACCCTTTGAAATTTTTTGGGTTTAAAATCACATTTTTGGCACGTTTGTAAAATAAAAAATGCTTGAAAAACATAACTATTTTTTTTAAAACAAAAATAAACTGAAACTATAAAAAAAATATAAAAATGTTGATTTGAACCTGGCATGGAGCTTAACATTCAGGATCTTACCATTAAGCCATCTATTTTTATTTATAATTGAGGGGATTCAAAATAGATACATCTATAAAAATATAGAAAATTTATCTCATATATATCGTGTATTTTTTTACCGAAAATGTTCGAACGAACACTCTGGACCCAACGTGGATCCATCCCTGGTGTCTCTATATGTAGTGGTGATAAATGTAATTTTCTTATTATAATTCTCACTTTGATTTATTTTGCTTGACCTATATTGACCTTCAGTAACTATTAAGAATTTTGTTTATAAGAAGTGCATGTATGAACTAATCTTTATGATATTTCGAAACTATATAAAAAATTATTTCTTTTTAGGTACTCAATCTTATTTTGTTGTATTTTTGAACTTCTGCGTGTAAATTTTTTCCGCACTACTTCTGCGTGTATGCTTGAATTATTTTTTATTTATTTAATATATGTGAGAATTCAATTATATTATTCTGGAATTCGATCTTTTTGTGGTTAAATTACAAAATATTAAGATATAATTTAAAGAAAAATGCTGGAACTCAAATAAGATCAGTTTGAAGTAAGTGAAAAAGATAAAAGAAATGAGTCTTTGAACTCTTTAAATTTGAGATATTTTTATCAAAATAATACTTCCGCATAAAAATTTCAATATTTTATAAATTCGATATTTTGATTTATATATTTATTATAGTTGAGTAGAAAAATATTAAATAGAAAATATTACTAATACAATGGATAAACGAATTTGAGTATATTAAATTGTGAGAAGTTGACGCTATTAATTTGTTTGACAACATTAAACATTTGAGAATATCAGTTGTTGATATATGTAAAAACAACGATATCATTTATGTGTTTCTATATTATTATGAGTATATTTTTTCAGTCAGTATAAAAGGTATATGAAAAATAAAGAGAAGAAAGCAACAAAGTAGTAAAATTATTTAATTTTGCATTCAATTTAGAATTATTTTCTTATATAAAGTTACATAACTAAATTCCCCCAAATTCAATATATTCATATCTTACATCCGAATAGATTGACCCACCCACAAATAAAAAATGGTCTTCGCCAATATTTTTTGACAAATGTAGTATTTGAAATGATTGTTTTAATGTGTAATGTTCGTGTTTATGTGAATAGAACAGTCAGCACTAGTCACGAGATAATGGTTCTATGTGTAAAAAAATAAAATATATAAACAAGTATAGAGAGATTAATTTAGGGAAAGGATAAGATTAGCATATAAATTATGATTAATTAGTTTAAATTTTGACAAATTTATGATCTGTTTATTTTATTTAATAATTAAATTTATTTTTTAATATTTTTAATTTGACTTATTTTAAAGTTGAATATTATGCCAATTAAGTTGGTCCATGACAAATCTTATCTAATTTTTATTTGTTGTTGTTGATATTAATATATTATAAATGATTATAACATAAAAAATATTTTATTAGATACTCAAATAAAGAACTAAAAACATAGCAAGAGGTTGGGGGATTTCGCTATGACACAGATTCAAGTCTATTCCAATCCAAAGTCACTTAACTTCTTTATTTATTAACTCAATTTTATTTTAATGTGTTCAAATTCAATTAATCCATCTATTTGATTAGAGTAGTTTAAGATCGAATTAAAATCAATAATTTAAACTGAAAAAATTATTAGTTTATCGATAATGGGTTATTGATTTAGTAGTTTTGATAAAGGTTTTAATATTTTTGTTATTGGATTGTTACTTCTGAACATATTGAGTTTTTTTGTTAACGAATAATTGATAACCCCATGGTAAATTTAAAAATGATATTTATACCATTTCGTATATCATTAAAGTCGTTGACTTAGAGTTTAGTTTGGTACTTTTATTTTGGATTAGTTCAAACTCTATGCCATTCTAAACTGTGAGGTCTTTGCTTTTGGTCAAAATAGTTCATTTGATTTGTCACCTTGTTTCTAATCGATTTTAATGATTTATTTTGTATTAAATCTTAATGGTTAAACTGATAAATCGGCAATTGATAAGTCAATATTTTAATGGTTCTACAATGATTTAGCATGTCTACAAACCAACAATAAGTCGAACCGATAGATTTCAAAACTAAACTAAACCAATCAATACACCATCTTACATTCGATACTCCTAATTGTCATAATTAACGAAAATAGCAATAAATAATTTTAGTTATCAATAAATAATAAAAATTTATCGATTATATCATTTATGAATGAATTATCAAAAAAATTGCTAGCTACAAACTAATGAAGTATTGCAAGGAATTAATATCCTAACTAATTTAAATTTTTTTTCTCCTAATAAAGGGAAAGTTATGATTAGTATTTAGTGTCATTTTGACATCCTGGCCAACAGATAAAATAAAATGATGATCTTTTCTTTTATATGAAATGGATATGGCATGATAAAAAAAAATTATTCAAGAAAAAAAATACTTAAATATTAATTCTTGTATGGTTAACTTGACTAAATGAGTAAAAGATGCATAAAAACTCATTAGAAAATCTATTAATGAAATTTCATTAACATTAATAAATGCGTAAAAAAATGTATATAGTCGGAGCCAGCTATTAATGAAATTTCATTGACATTGATAATCACCTGAATATATTAAAATCTCATTATCGTTAGTAATGCGATCTATTACATATTATAAGACTACAATCCAGACACACTTAATTCATATAACTTAAAAATTAAGATTTGTATTTTTCTAAAAAAATAAAATCTTAAGTTATTATAAATACAATCATTATAATAATTATTATTTTAATCAGGAAAAAAAACTTAGGTATTTGCATAGATAAGAATAATAACTTGATTAAGTTTGTAATTTAGTAAAGTAATTATTTTTAATTTATAATTTTTATTAGTGGTAAATATGAACGGAGACCCGATTGAGTGAGAACAAAATTTTTAACAAAAGTATTTTAGCTAATATTTTTTGTTTTGAAGCCAGTAACGACATTTAGGATTATGATTGTATTTTGTTTTTTAGTCATTACAAATGATTCATCCTTTTTTTATCTTGAATCATTTTTTATCTCTATTTTTTGTTTTTTTATATGTTTTTTTTGTCACCCTTCTCTATATTCTTTCCATATTCAAAATTTATCATATTCAATCTCTTATTTCTCATTTTTACACTTTGCGCCCTATAAGAAAAAAGTTCTATAAATAGGCGTAACCTAGCTACAGTATTACATAACCTGAAAAGAAAAAAAATGAATGAAGACGGCGAGAATAATCATGATCATTTGTGTGATGATATCTGGTCATACCTAGACTGGAATGACCATCAAGTTGAGAGTGGAGAGACCGAGGGTAACAAGTTGCTAGATCCAACTGGGTCTGATACTTGCGAGCCATTTACGGTTATTAATGAGGTGGTTGAAGTGAGTGTTAATGTTGCCAAAAAGAGAAGTTCAGCCAACCGGAAAAAAAATGGTAAGGAAATTGCTGAACCAAATTCTGGTGTTTATGGAGCCGAAGTTAGAAAAACATCAAAACATGAGGTACGCAAATGGACAGAGAGAGAAAGGAGAAAGAAGATGCGAACCCAGTTCGAGAATCTTCATGCTTTGGTTCCCAACCTCCCTGCTAAGGTAAAATGTTTTTTACATGACATATCTTATATTTTATTATCCGATATCTTATCAATTATCAACAAGGATATAATTCAATAAATTTTGTGATAATCTGAAACATTTTTTTTTGTCATTTTTATTTTATTGTCTTCTGCAAAATTAATAATCATAATCAACTAATTAAAAATTATTCGAAAATGAACAATTTTTTTTAGATCAAATAGGAACTTTTAAAATAATTAAAAGTTACTTGTTTGTTTGATTCTTTTTGGCAATTACATATGATAACACTTTAATTTTCATATGTTATTGTTCCATATTTTTAAATTTCTAAATGGAGTAAATAAATCTTTGGAGAATCATTTTAGGAAGCTTACTAAAGGAGATGATTCTCTTTATAGAAAGCTTGCTAAAGGAGACATGATGAAAATGTAACTTGGGCCCTTCAAATTTTGGGGCATATATATATATATATATATATATATTAGATATTAGTATGATATTCCTTTGACTTATTTATCCTTATTTAGTGAAAAAATTGATTTCGCAATATGATATTTTTTGTATATGCAGGCTGATATGTCTAAAATAGTTTATGAAGCTGTGAACCGTATACGAAAGCTGAAGAATACTTTTAAAAAACTTGAAAGTCAAAAGCTAAAAAGTCTAGAAGAATATAACATAAGGTTGACGGGTTCACAAAAAGTTGATAATAGCTGGGAGAAGTATGTGGGTGATCAAGGATCAACCTGCAATTCTATAGCTATTATACCGACTAATCATGGTGCTAGTCCCCTTATTCCAACAAGTTTTATGACATGGAGTTCACCAAATGTGATACTAAATGTATCTGGTGAAGATGCACATATTAGTGTGTGTTGTCCTAAGAAGCCAAGGCTATTTACCACCATTTGTTATGTTTTGGAGAAACATAAGATTGACATTGTGTCTTCTCAAATTTCATCTGATCAATTCAGAAGCATGTTCATGATACAAGCTCACGTAAGACCTTTCATTTTTATCAAAATAATATATTGGTCATTTTGAACACTTTGAACTTGGGTTTTTAGTTAGCACACTCTTCGATTTATTTTACGTGTTTTTGTTTGATTGATCAGTAAATTGAAGAATGACACACGTTGAGAAATTCTTTTGAATTGGGTGTTTGAGAAACATATAGTTGTTTTTATTTTATAAGTTTCAAATCTAATTGACCATTTATCTTCACACGAAATGGAAGTAAAAAATAAAGTATATATCTATCCTTTTTTTAAAAAAAAAATGCCTCCTCCCACCTGTCTCATCCTGAGGTTGATCTCTATTTGTTACCACATAATAGTTTAGTCATAGATTATATTTAGATATTATTTAAATTGTTTTACCTGAATAGTCTTTCTACTATTATAAAATTCTTGTACATATATACTGACAATATTACTATTGTTGTTATTATTGATTGTTTTAAAAACATGTTTGATGTATATTTAGGCTAAAGATGGAAGTGGGGTTGCTCAATTCTCTGAAGCATTCACCGTGGAAGACATGTACAAGCAAGCTGCAAATGAGATAATGTTGATGACAACCCCCAAATGATCAATATCATATTTACTTTTGAAGTTCATTCAGTGGAGGATGAACGGCTGTCGCCGTATAGGCATGTTTACTTTTCAAGTTCATCTGGTAGAAGATGAATTGTTGTGATTGTAAATCTTGTTTTATTTACTTTTATAGTTCATTCGATAGAGGATGAACGATTATGACCGTAAAGGTTGTTTTCTTTTTCTTTTTCTTTTTCTTTTTCATTTTATCCAGTGGTCTGTCTCAATATCGGAGGAATGAAAACTATGAAATTCGGTCCCATTAAATTTATTCCGATAATTTTTGTAAATAGGAAGAATCTTGATTTGGCATATGTTTTTATGTATTTGTTTTATGATTGTGTTTGGTATTGATGAATATTTTGAAAAAGTAATTCATTTTCTGTTTTAAGAATATTGTCTCTATGAAAGTATATTCCTTACAAATGAGAAAAAATGTTTCTCAGTCGGAAACATGAAAAAGAAATGGCGTAAATTACATTAATGATTGTAAAGTCATTTAATTATAAGCAATAGCTTTACACCCCCACCCCCACCCCCCATAATTTTAATACTCTATTTTTTTGTTATTAATAATACATTAATCCTATATTAATATTCCTTTACAATGAATATTTAGGTGAGAAAGTACATAATATTTAATGTAAAAAAAAAGAGAATTATTTAACCAATGTAGTATGGTTAATTTACATTCTAATATTATTATTTTTTCTGTAATAAAACTTATGTTTATATTCTTCATTTCTTACATCCTTGTTAAACTTAAAATTTACTCTTGTACTAATTAGTTGTTCATCCATTCTCTAAATTCAAGAAATAAACGAAATTAAATAAATTTAAATTATATTTCTTGACATTCTTCCGAAGTTCTAATACATTACAACAATTAAATTAAGATTATAAAATTTTACTATGTTATCAATCTATCAATTTCAAAAATACAAGTTCTATTTTCCTAACTCTTAACTATCCTTTTTAAAAAAAAATGAAAATTTACAATATTTTTTAATAATTTTATCTCATAGGAGTATTTTTGTTTTACTTTTTAAAGTTTAAATATGTTGTGATATAAACATGAATCATATTTATAATTATGATTTTTCTTAAAATTTAAAGCTTATTATTATAAAGTTTAATTTAATTTTGGACCTATAACATTTTTCACTCGTGCCTGATTCTCACTTATTTTAACTCCTACCAAACCAATAGGTTAAAAATATAATGTTACTAAAATAATTTGTACTCAAATATTTATCGTCCCTACTTTCATTTCACCTTCTACAACAATTAGCACTTGCAGAGAGTTTCATATATCAACTTTTATTTAGGTCAATTTTTTTATATCTTATTTTAAAATTTTATCTATATATAAATAATTTTCAGACAAATTTAGAAAATGATTTCCTCAGCAGAGCATGAAAATAAGTGTTATAGACAATAAGTTAAATTTTAAGCTAACTATGGTCTTCCCACCCACCCCACCCCCACACCCCACATCCCACCCCCACGGTGTCGATTCAATGGTAAAATCATTTAATTGGAGGAAATTTCATAAATTATAATTGAAATATAATGATCTTTCTTAGCTATAGTTTCTCTAATCATATAGTATATCTATAGTTTCAATTGTTATGACTTACTTTATTTATATATTTTGTTGAAATTATTTTTTTAATATAAATTGTACTCTTAACTTAATCAATGAGGCAGCAATTTCGATTATTACAACAGGAAAAAATATCACAAATCATGATTATTTATGTGATTAGAATTTCGTACCAAACATGACTTCTGCTAAACTAAGAACGATGTCAAAAAATTACTTGATAAATATACAAATCAATCGTATATAAATATCATTAATAGATGCAGTTACATCATGTATATATATGAATAAATGTATATAAATTCTGAAATTATACAAATAAGTTGGGACAGTATATTTTTTGATAATATATAAATACAAAAAAAGTAATTGTAGGTAATTATTAAAATATACAAACAACCTGTAAGAAAAAAGTTCTATAAATAGGTGTAACCTGAACTACAGTATTACATAACCTGAAAGAAAAACAAAGAATGAAGGCGGCGAGAATAATCATAATCATTTGTGTGATAATATTTGGTCATACCTAGACTGAAATGACCATCAAGTTGAGAGTGGAGAGACCGGGGGTGTCACACGACCCAAAAATCGGTGTGATGACACTCGTCTTATCACACCAAGACAAGTCAGCCTAAAACCCAATATCTAACAAAGTGCAGAAGTAAATGACAATCCAACAACAATTTCTATTTGAAACCAAGTCATATTAATTCAATTCTCAAAACCAGGTTGTCACGTGTACAAGCCTCTAATGTAAATATTAGAATTGAAATAAGATAGAAGTCTAAGATGAAGTTGTCTTTCAAGTAAAAACAAAGTCATAAATTGGAGTAGGAAAGTTCACTGAGATGACAAGCAGCTACCTCACAACCCTCCACAAGATGCCTCAGAAACGAAAAGAATGACAGGTATCACGAAGGTACGGGCTCATAACCTACAAAAATTTGTAGAAGCAAGGGTGAGTACCAAACCACGCGGTACCCAACAAGCAAACCTCTAAACACAAGTTAAGTAAATAAAATACGGGTACTCCTTACTCTCTATCTAAACCTCCACGCTACAGCCTAACAGTTTACCAAACAAACAACTCAATAACCACACTCTAGCAGTTTACACATTCTCAATAACAACTCAATATTCAACAGTCACAAGCTTCACAGAGAAACAATCACAAGATCATCAAAACACGTGTTCAAGTTCATCAATAATAAAATGTGCAATGTCATGAGATGCAATGTCAAATATAGTGATGCATGTCTTTCTTAACGATACACACCCGCTGTCACTCAGTCCGGGACCCATGGGGACATATCTGTCCATGCATCTGTCGCGGCGTACGACACGACCCTCGATAATAGTAACCGTCGTGGCGCGCGATACGTCCCTCGAAATATAATATCCATCGCGGTGAGCGATACGACCCTCGAAATGGTACCTCCTCTTATCACATAACTCTTATCACAACCATGTTTCAAGTGCAGTTTGGCTTACATACTAAAATAAAAATGAGGAGATAGCCATTTTGATAACAAAGCACAATTTGCAACAAGTAATACAACACCAACAAGTAAGCAACAAGTCTCCAATCATTCTCAATATCATACAAGGAAATACACGAATTTTGTACGCTTAACAAGAGTTTAGAAATCCACTTGCCTTAGCCAATCAAATAATTACTCTTAGACTTGAGTCTTCCCTTTCCGTTGAGCTTCTGAACCAATGGAATCTATTCAAGTATATATTCACAATAAGGTTTCAGAACTAACAACACTCACACTTTTATGTGTTTAACCTTGAACTAAAAATACACCCCAAATTTATAATCAAGTTTATAATTCTTGATGTCAATTAAAATTTCCACTATCATAGTTTTCAAGTTTCAAAATTAGGATTGCATCCCAAATTTTTCGAACGTCGTAATTTAAATGGTACTCAACAAATCTTATTCATCTAATATTTAAATTACATACCAATATATCAAAACTTGAACCATAATATAATAACTAATATTCTGAAATTTAAGCCTAATGATACCATTAACGTATTCTGCACTATATTTTTTCCCCTTTCAACCCACTAAATGATTAGCTCATTATGAACCAATCATTGACCCACTAATGATTGGATCATCATGAACCAATCATTGATCCAAATGATTCAAATGATTCCATAATTTCTAACTATTCACGTGATTTTCTGTTCTGCATTTTTTTTACTTATATGCAATTTTCATTTATTATTATACACACATATATATAATTTATTATATAATATTGCTATATGCACACATCTATGTGCAGAAATCAAGAAAATTAAAGGAAAAGAAAACTTACCTTAAGCAGTTCGCAAGCCGCAAGTGCAGAGAAACCCTTCGCCCTTTTTTTTCCTTATTTTTTTTTGAATTATTTATGTACTAAAAGTGGTGAAACTTTACCCATTTTATTTATTAAATAGTCTAAAAGGTATAAGGTCTTAAAAATTTTATTACTTTAGCCCATTCACTATTAATTTAATCAATTATCTACAATTATTCATCCATTAATTAGCTCAAGTTAAGCAAATATTCAAAATTTCCAAAAATGACCTTCCGGGTCATTACATTATCCACCACAAAAAAACATGTTCGTCCTCGAACATAAAGTAAAAGAAAGTACCTGATGCTTCAAAAAGTTGTGGATATCTAGCACGCATGTCAGACTCTGTCTCCCAAGATGCCTCCCCCGCAGAGCGGTACTTCCATTGCACTTTCACTGAAGCAATCTCCTTGGTCCTATGCTTTCGAGCATGTCTATCCAAAATAGCTATAGGCTCCTCCTCAAATGTCAAGTCTAGACCCAACTGCACGGAGTCAAGTGAAAGCACATGAGATTCATCTGGAATATACTTCCGAAGCATAGAGACATGAAAAATAGGATGAACTGCCGACAAACTAGGTGGCAAGGCCAACTTACAGGCCACCTATCCTACTCGGCTCAAAATCTCAAAAGGTCCAATGAACCTAGGGCTAAGCTTGCCCTTCTTTCCAAACCTCATCACACCCTTCATGGGTGATACTCGGAGCCAAACATGATAACCTTCCATAAACACTAAGGCTCTAATTCTCCGGTCTGCATAACTCTTCTGTCGACTCTGAGTTGTTAATAATCTATACTGAATGATACGAACTTGATCCATAGAATCTCTAAGCAAGTATGTATCCAAAGAGTCCATCTTCGCCGAATCAAACCAACCAATCGGAGACCTACACCGTCTTCCATACAACACCTCAAATGGGGCCATCTGGATACTAGAGTGATAACTGTTATTATAGGCAAACTCCGCTAAGGATAAATGTTGATCCCTTCTAGCACCAAAATCGATCACACACGCTCGAAGCATATCTTTCAATA